CAGCCTCAAGGGACTTCACTGTCCTTAGCTCAAAATATTCTGTGTGCCAGAGAGAAGCATCTTGAGGAGACAAGAATCCTGGAGCAGCCTGATTCAGGTACCCCAGTAACTACTTTCCCAGCCTCCCCTCAATGCTTCAGAGCTCACCCCCTCAAGAAGGAGCCTGCACTGAGTGATGTTGCACCACATGGGGCAGCTCCCTGGCCAGGCATGGGACTCAGGCCATTAGGGGTGACAGCTGAGATTTGTCCCCTAGGCCACGGGGAGGCCCTCAGGCCTAATGTTTTTATGGAAAACTCTCCTTCCAGCTACTTTAAAAATTACATGAGGGCCCTCCCTGGTGGTGCAAGGGGTTAAAGCACAGCACTACAAAGCTAGCCGTGGCCACTTCAGCACAAGTTCGATCCCCAGCCAGGGAGGTGACCCACATGGCACAACAGACCTCTTTTGTCTCTCTCGCTGCTCCCCTCAGCAAAGTACTTTGTCAATCTGATGCCTGTTCTGCTCCCCACTCTGTCTCTGGTGAATCCTCTCAGCGCCCCTGCACCTCTGGCCTGTATCCCAGGTCTGTATGTATAAATAAATAAATCTTTTAAACAAAAATAACTCCATGAGACAGGACTCCAAAGTCATCTTCTCAAAGCCTTTCAAAATCTTTTACGTAGAACATACTAAATTCTCTCTGACTGAGATTTGATCAAGAGTAAAAGAAGTACAGGAAAAGAAAGCATGGTCCAGTTGAGAGGCTGAGGCTGGAATGGTTCCTGGCAGGGAGGGAGCGGGGTGTGTGCTCCAGGCCGCTCTTAAACAGGTGAGCGCCTTCTCCATTTTACGGAGAGAGAAACCAGGACAGAGAGATGTCAAGTAACATGCCCATGGTGGCCCACCTTGCAAACAGCAGAGCTGGGATTTGAACCGAGATGGCCTTCATATTTTAGAGCCCATGTATTATGTTCCTAACATGCAAGACTGCTTCCTAGGGACCCAAGGCCCAACCCATCCCTCACCCCGAGAAGACGTGGATGGCATAAAAAGTTTTGTTGTGCTTTGGATTAAAAAAAAAAAAACAAGCAAACCCTTGGTAAATTTAGAAAGAATGACTAATGGACAACTCCCTTTCTTGCAAGTAATCAGACCTCATGAGAGGAAGCGGAGACCACATCCTAACTGATGGCTGGCTCTAGACTCCTGCGCGTGAGGTCTAGGCCAGGGTCAGCTCTGGATCCCCAGGGCTGGAGACAGTCCAGTCAGAACCATCAGTGAATAGTGAGGGGGAGGGGGGAGTGCCCTCTGGAGGAAAGGGAGACGGGGGAGCCTGAGAAGGAAGATGGCCATAGAGCACTGACCGAGCACCCGACCCCCACCCTGAGGAGAGGTTGGGTGGTAGCAGGGCACTCACAGTGGGGTGGGGGTTCAGTGACACTTGGGCAACCTCTGGCTGACCTGAGTTTGTGGGTGACCACCCTTGTCTCCTGTCCCCACCACACACACACACCGACAAGGAGGCAGAGACTTACCCGAGGAAGCAGGTGGTAAGGCAATGCACAGGTTGGCAGACGGGGCTCTGGTGACTGCCAGAACCTCAGACTCCTCCCCGGAAGTGGATAGGCAGCCCCCCCACTTTGTCTCGCAGCACCAAGCCTGGGAGGGGGCACCTTCTTCCTCTCAGCCTGTGACACCCCTTCCCATCCCTCTCCCAAGATGCCTTCCTCCTGTAGAGACACAGGAAGCAAGGGGCCGCCGCACGCCAAGGCATCCACCCACAGACTCACACACCGGGGAGAAGGAAGCCTGCACCTCATTCTCTGCACCCTGTTTATGAGAGCTGAGGGAGGCAAGCAGCCCAGGTGCCTGGAGGAAGGGGTGAGGGAGACGCGGTGCTCGTGGACCCTCAGCCGCCGCAACAGACAAACCTCTGTCTCTGTGAACATGGCGGGCCTGGGCGGGGTGATGTTCAGTGACATGTCAGGGGAAAAGCCAGCTCCGGATGGGGTCACACAGGTGTGGGACACAGAGAAGCCCAGAAAGGGTCAGAGAAGCCAAGCTAACAGCAGACCCTAGAAATCGGACCACAGGACTGAGGCTTGGGTGGTGGGTGTGGGGCACTGAGGACCCCTGCAGGGGGGACCCCACTCTTCCGAGCTCAAATGATGACAGAGCACAGCATGAACCCAACGGAAGAAGAGAGAACACAGGAGCTCCTTTATCAGAAAGGACCCCTGTGCCCTCCAGGCCCACAAGACCCCACGTGATGGCTCTCAAGCCTGGCCACACAGCAGGGTCATCTGGGGAGCCCTGGAAATATCATGGATGCTTGTTCCAGGAGCCCAGAGTGAATGGAGCTGAGCTGCATGGCATCAGTGCACCTTAATGCTCCCCAAGGGGTGAAAGGCAGCTCCCCTGACCCCTGAGTCACCCCGTTGCCCATGGGAAGTCTTCTTGAAGCCTGCGAGGCCCCTTATACATCATGGCTCCTGTTGACCTAGTCAGCCCCTGCGCCAGACCAGCTGGGCAGCCACACCTGTCCATTGCCTGCCTCCTGCTTACCTGAGGGCCATGTCTCTGAGACAGGGACGTGGCAGTCTCATTCACTGCCCCTCCTCAGTGCCTAGCGTGGCGCCTGGCACCCAGCGGGTGCTTGACTCAGATCTGTCGAGAGGCCAACTCCCCCAGCAGCCCGAGGGCCTGGCAATAAGTCGGAGTCCTGCACTGGGGGGTCCTGGGACTAGCAATGGCCAGCTGTGAGCAGTTCACTAATTCATGAAGCTGCTGATTTGCTCTAGAGACAGGGCCTTATGGGGTGCTGTGGTAGCAGGGGTCCTGGCAAAGGTTGGAGGTGGAGACACTGCGCACGGGAGGCAGGAACAGTCTGGCTGGCCCAGAGGGCAAGCACAGAGGTGGCCTGTTGGCCATCAGCCTGGATCGCTGGACCCGGATGTCGGGCACGGTGACTGGGAGGGGAGGGCGGGGCGGGAAAGGGCCTCATGGGAGCTGGTGTCACCCCCACCTCCTCGTCAAAGACCTGCTGTCAGGGAGTGGCAGAGCTGGCACAAAGCTCAGTGCCCCTGCCAGGCAGGTAGGAGATGAAGCCTGTGGGACTCCAGACTCTCCAGTGCACACCAGGAGCAGATGGTAAAAGCGAGCCCAGAAGAGAGACGACTTGCTCACGGAGCATCTGGCCAAGGGAATCCGGCAGAATGGGCAGGCTCCTGAGTGTGCTCGTTGCCTGGGGTGCCCGGAGCTGCCCTCCAGGTCTGGCTCAGTCTGGTCATTGAGGAGCCGGGGGCAGGTCTGCTGACCCTTCTGTCCTTCTGTCCTGGCTGCTCATAAGCACTCACTCTCTTTGCTCCCAAGTTCAGCTTCCTTTCCCAGTACGCTTGATTTTCCACCACTAGCACACAAGGCCATGGCGAGCCTGTCTAGCTGAATGCCAAGATCTTCAGACAGCTCGGATGTGCCGCATGGACCTCAGAGAGGTCTCCCCACCACGGCAGCAGCAGCAAGTACAGCTGCTCCCCAGACTCAGTGGCCTGGGCCACCCATGGGTCACAAGGGCTGGCTCGCAGTTTCAGTGAAGCAGGGCTCCCAAGGGTCATCTGCCTGTGTCCGGACTCTGTGCTGGCCAGCGCCCCCCTGCTCCTCTCCTTCCCCTCCTTGGAGACCAGGGATTGGGCTGGCAGCCAGAGCTGAAGTCTCTTTTGCAAATCCCAGGTCAGTCCTTTAACCCCTAGGAACCGTGCTATCCTCACCTGCAAAGCAGGGAGAAGTGAGGATTCCGAAGGATAAAAGGACAGGCTCTCTTCAGTGCCTGGCACTCGGCAGGGAGCTTCATAAGCATTTGGTCCTATGAAAAAGGCTCCACCGCCAGCAGCTGGCTGGCAGACCCACCTGGGATTGCCAGAGCATGGGCTGTGCCCACCAAGTAAGGAGAGGAGGTTTGCGGAGCTCCGCAGGCCCTGGCCCACCCTCAGCTCTGCAGGCCCAGCCTCAGGCCCTGGCCCACCCTCAGCTCTGCAGGCCCAGCCTCAGGCCCTGGCCCACCCTC